AGGCTAAAGACCTGGAGGTATTCAACACACAGTAAATAATATTTACTTTGGTCACTGTTTTTTTAGCTCTGCACACACATTGTTTCCTAGCCCAGCAGAAGAGAGAATCTGAGGTAAGAAGCAAATATAAGTTCAATGAAAAGACAAAAAATAAGACATAAAGAAACATTTCCTGACAGCAAGAGTGATTTTCAAAATGATTTTAAGGGTAACACTGCTGTTTAACATGTGGATGTTATGGAAAATATTATTTTGAATGGCCTTTTAATGTATAATAAACAACACTTCTCCTGCATGGTTTGCTTACAAGGGGGTACACTAATTATCTTTTTGAAAGCCCACAATTCTGTTACATGAAATTAAATTTCTCCCTGCCAAGGAGCACATGAAATTCTACAGGGGTTTTCTAAGGTGTGCCCCGGGTGTGTAATGAGATTTACAAGTCTGAACCTCGCAGGGGTCTTTTAAAACATCTTGCCCAGAACACATCGGCCTACATGAGGAACAAAAATTGTTTTATTTTTGCTTGTTTTTATTTTTTTATTTTAACTATTAAATGTGGTGATGCCAATACAGCTGTGGAAACGCAGGCTGTGCCCTATTTTGCCTTATGCATCATCAAGAAAATTGCCAGCTCAATTCTGATTCCAAAATCTTTATTGTGATGATGTAGCTAACAAAAGACACAGCTTGATTTGCAAGTGCCACACAGGGCCAGTGATGGGGCCAACTGGAAGAAAATACTGTTTTGAGTCATTTCATTGTCACTGAAAAAGAATATTCATTAACTGTCAGACATATGGAACATCTTGATGTAGTTCAGTACATTTTCAGAGGCAAGATTGATGGGGTCCTTGGACCGCACAATCTCCCACACAAGCAGAAAGACTTTTCCAAGTGCACGTTACTATTTCTTTATGAACTCCTCTAACATTCCAGGAACTTGCTTTTTCAATTTTTTTTTTTTGCTTTTTTTGAGACAGAGTCTTATATGTCACCTAGGCTGGCCTTAAACTTGCTTTGTATCCCAGCCTGGCTTCAAACTCATGATCTCTGCCTCAGCCTCCCAACTACTAGGATTATAAGTATGTGCCACCATGCCCAACTTACAAACTTGCTACATTTTTTTTTTAATTTTCAAGTTACTATATTTGACAAAGAATGTTCTTTGTCTTATCCTTCCATATTAGACTCTTTGTGAACATGCTTCCGTCAGACAAGCAGACGTTGGTATACAGCAGTACTTCTTGACAAGTATCTCTATAGTCACATTTTTTGAAATGTCATGTTTTTCTACTCACATTTCTATGCAGCCCTCAGAACAGTCACATGAATCAGTAAACATGGTGGAAAATTTACTTAGATAACATGCTCGGGGCCACAGTCTTTCTGTACTTAAACTGTTGAAGCCTTCTACTGTCAATTTCATTGCAGAAAAAAATGGGCACTGATTCCACTCTGTCACTAACTAATATGCACACAAAAAATAACTTCTTGCTTTGGGTAATTCTAGTCAACTGAACATAGGTATTGAAAGAAAAGCTGTCTGTAAATAAAACGTTACACTTTGTCTCAAGCAGGTAACGAAAGACTTCCTCCATGTTTTGTAAACTCCTTCGACAAGGAGTTTTCTAACTCACACGGAGTGCAGAATGAGAGTTTGTTTTCACATGTCGTCTTTGGAAGTGATATTTGATTGGCAGCCACAGAGGGTTTTCTCCTTTGAAAGCTGGTGGCATTTTCATCAGACAGGCACAAGAGCAGTCATGATGTTTGTAAGATAAATTCAAAGATGATTCCTTTCTCCTAAAGTCTATGACGTTATTTCCCAAAGGGAGAAAGTCCTTATTTTCTGTAGATAGAAAAATCCACCTTCTGGAAAGTCATTTTCATATGATATAGAGGGAAATGCATTTGATTTGTTTTCCTGATCAATCTGAGTCACAGGCAGATGATTTTTCCCCTATTAACATGGTATGATATGCTCTCAAATCTCATTGCTGCTCTGGGTATTCACTTCTTTCTGTGATGGTCCCTTTACCAATGCTGAATTGATTCTTATAGTTGCTTCATTCACTGGAATGATGGTTTGGATAGACTCGTTATTTGTGCCAGACACATTTTGATCTTCTGTTTCAGTGATTGCAGTACATTTTGTACTTTTTCAAATATAAATTCCACTTTTCCATCATCTTCCAGCTCCATCCAGAAAGCTTTTGCATCACCATTTTTTTCTCCCATCTTTTGGTGTTGTTTATAAACAAAAAAATTCTTCAAAATTAGGTTTATCAGAAGACTGAATATGAGCAACTTTGATTGGAGAATATAACTAGAATACAACCGCAGTCTATTTGATACATCTTCATCAAGTGAATCTTTACAGTTGTATCAGATCACTGACAATGTCTTTTTAAAAATAAAAATCAATCCCATTTTTTGGTCCACAAATGCATGAAATATTCTCCACCCAAGAGGAGCAAGTGTGCAACCTATAATGTCCAAGACCCTGCATGCAACCACTGCATGGCAGTGAGATGCCAACAGAGCCCACTACCACCTGGCTGGAAGCCCTTTGAGTCACACTCCCTACTTGGGTCCCAAACTTGCTACTTCTAAACTAAGTTCTCTACTAAACACATAATAAACTTTTACTAGTTTTTCCCTATTTAGGAACAAAAATGTGCATCTGAATTCTATCACTCCTAGTATAATCCCAAGGTTTGGTACATAAAAACCCAAATTTACAAATGTGTAACTGGTTATACATGCAATATATACATACATGTATATATGCATAGACGTATTAATTCAGGCAAAATACAAATCAAATGTGCATAGCTAAACTTTTAAAATTCAATGGAAACTTGTAAGGGCTAAAGTGATGGTCAGTAAACTAATCACAATGTGTGTAAAGAACTAGAGAAGGAGGGCTATTGTATTAGAAGAAGGATGTTAAGTCTTATCATCATTCTGCTTGGAAGGGATGAGATTGGTGTGAAATTACAAGTTTTCACAGCTGGTAGGAAAAGACATACCTTGAGTCAAAGATTTGAGAACAAGAAATTTATTTGGGAGGTGATTTCAGGAAGTCCAAGAGTGAGGAAGAGAGATAGGAAAGAGAAGGAAAGAACAAAATGTGTATTACCTTTTAATAACCACTGATAACCACACTTTATGTCTAAGAGTTTTCCCACATGAGGGGTAAGGGAGGAAGTTGGGGTACTTATATTCTAACTTTAGTCTATTGTATATAAAATAAATAAATCCTTTCACAGCTGGTAGGAAAAGACTGGACCAGTTATATATTGATCTGGGTCACCTCAGACGAGAACCTTGAGTCAAAGATTCAATTACAACCATTTAAATGTTAGTTGATGGAGAAAGTATCAGTTGGGGAACAGGGCCTTGCTACTTGCCTTTCGCATGGGTCAACATGGTCTTCTATAGTTCTGGAAAAGCCTAAAGACACTCAGGTGAAGATTTCAGCAGAAAGAAGTTATCCAGAGTACACATACAATGAGAACATTGAGCCATAACAACAACCACCTCTCTCTCTCTTTATCTCTTCATCTCTCTCTCTCTCTCTTTCTCCCCCTTCCCACACATATAAGTTGGAGGGACATGAATGAGTCACTGATAAATCATGAAAGTAATCCAGTATCCAGTGAAGTAGCTATGTCATTGCGTTTTTTAGTTAAAGCTATCCAGGATAAAAAGTCACTTGGGCTAAGGACATGACTCAGTAGTACAGCACTTTGGGTTGGATTCAAGCACCAAAGGGAAAAAAATCACCTTGCCAACACTGTCACCTTGTAGAAAAGCAGATAGAGGCTGGGTTTGGGTTCTAGGTCAACTACTGATAAGCTTTCAAACCTTGGATGAATTTGGGCAGAGATAATTCCATCTGCACTAGCTCCTGGACATCAAGCTACAGGATAAAGTGAGATAATATATATGAAAATCCTTTGAAATGGAAAAAAAACACTAAACAAAATACAAGATATAAGACACAATGATGTTTGCTCATTCAAAAATAAGAATTTTAGTTCATATTTCTGAGAAATTATATTTCCTTTAACTTGAGACTTTCATCAGAAAAAAATCACAGTACACTTATTTTCTCTGGAGCCTCATTCTTTGTTGTTGCTGATAGGTAAATGACAGCAAAATGTGTTGATGACTCTTTGCTTAGATATAATGAGCTATCCCTGAGTTATTTGGAAGTCTACAATTGTAGCTCTCTGATGAAAATCTGGTAAGGAATCCTCTTTGTGTCAATGAACACAAAGCCAATTTTCAAAAATAAACAAGGTGCAGGCGCTAACAAGAAAAGTTTTCCTACTTCCTTCATTTCCCACCCTGTCCTAGGATAACTGATTTTAAGTAAAGATATTAAAGGAGGTAAAAAGGAGTAAGACTTCTAGCTTTTCTACCTCTGTTGGCTTTTACCAAGAAGAGACACAGTAGATAATGTGTGGTTTTAAGTAATTCTATTTAAATTTTGAATTTCCTGCCCGCAGTAAAGTTTTTAAAACAGCAGTTTTTCCATTCAATATAGGGAATGCCACTAGCATCAGAGCCACTCAGGAACATGCTGGAAGAAAATATATCTTTTCAACTTGTTTTTTTAAATAATGACAGCATGGGGAAGTGTAAAACCAGTTTTTTTTCCTGGGGAGTATAAAACAATGAAAAATATTTTAGGACTTACTCTGTGCTTATTTAGCATTGTGCTAAGTACGTCACAAAGATTCTAATATTTAATCTTCCTAATAATTGTTTGCATTAGATACTATTTTATCTCCATTTTATATAAGAAAACATTGAGCTCAGATTTGGTCCACCTTCAAAGAAGGATTTAAGTACTGGAAAATGATAGTGACAATTTATAGTCCAGGATTATCTCATGGTGTTTATGGTGTTCCTTCAGAACACATCTATGGTGTCTCTTCTCTGGGACGCATGAACAAGCCAGCCTCTACTAAGAAACAATCATAACCTCAAATCCATCCTTTAGGAAGGATGTTGTCATCAATACAAAAGGAAAACACTTTTCCATCCCTGGCTGTGAAGAGGGTATGTAGTCAGAAAAGGTATGAATGCCCATGTGGTTGGTCTTCCCATTCAGGAGATATGATCAGTCAAACTGCCACCTGTAATTATCTACAATACCAAGTCCTTTGCCACCACCTGAAGTGCTCCTCTTCCTACTTTTGAACAATCTTGATAAAAATCCCTCAGATAAGAGAAAGCAGTGCATTTCAAAATATACTGATTTTAACTTCAAGAGATTCAAGTAGGTGAAAAGCCAACCACAAAGAAACTGCTAACAAATATGATCAACATTTACTTGGTGCTAAATTTGTTTGAGGCATCATGTAAAGCATGTTACATGGCTTAAATCAAGGAAAATTCATAACTCCCCTATGTGGGAGGTATCATTATTATGCCCATTTTACAAACAAAGAAATCCATGTTTAGAGAAGTGAATTACCATATCCAAATCACTTGTCTGCTTGCACTGACCTGCCATAAGAACCCACTTAGCTATGAAGACACCTATGGATGTGGTAAGCCCTTGATAAATTAAAACACCAAAGTCTGAGATTACCTCATTTTATTTGGTGAAAATACTAACATAAACAATATTTCAAATTTTATTATTTTTTTCAAATTTTATTATTTATATGGCTAGAAATAAGCTAGTTAAAAATGACTATGTGTAATAGATTTCTGCTACATAAGGTCTTGTCAAAGACATAGACACATAAGTACTAATTGCTGGGATTAAAATTTGAAAGCATATGGAACATCTTGAATTCTTTTTGGTTTTTTATTTTTATTTTTTTGTGGTGCTGGGGATTGAACTCAGGGGCTTTGCACATACTAGGCAAGCACTCAACGACATTAGGAGCTACATTCCCTAACTCCTTGAGTTCTTGACTTGAAATTTCATTTGTTGTATTTTGGCTATATGTGTGCGTGTGTGGAGGTAAAAAAATCTTAAAATGTTAGCAATTATCTCACCATTGCTTATATTTACTGTAACAATGAACATTCTGAAAGGGTACATTCTGAATTTGGGAACACTTAGCTTCCAGGTCACCAAGTCTAACTATACCTGTGCAAACTGACTATCTGTGCCCATAGATATTTTCACAAGGATGTGATTAACCATGGGAACTACTTCTTAAAGGGGATTGGAGGAGACACAGAAGCCCCTGCTCTGTCTAGTTCCATCACATAGCAAAAGCACAGTTGTGTATAAGGCATAGGTTTAATTCCCTGACATGTCCCTGAGATAGTCACTTACCTTGAATTTCTTGAACACTGTATTCTTGTGGTGGTTCCAGAACATCATCAGGATGTGGGACACAGAGTCCGTGGAAAGGCCCCAAGTCGAAGCACTCATGGAGCAGTGGCAAGTCCACTCTCGAGCACACATTCATGAACCCAACAGCTTTACCTTCCACCTGGAACATCCAAAACACCTGGTTACTCTATCAGACCTCAAGTGATACTCTTCATGAAACTTCCATGAGCCCTCTACATGTGCTCCTCTGGTGACTTGGTGGGCACTTTGAGTTGTTTAAGAAAGGAGAGAGTATCTTCCTTAAGTAGCTATAGCATCTAGCACAATGCATGGCACATACAATATGCTCAAAGAACTATCCAACAAGTGACCACTATGGAATCCTAAAAATGGATAAGTAACAGGAAAGTTGCCAGAAGAGTTCTTGAGGGGAAACTACTGGAACTTTACACTTACACTCTTTCTCAGCTAATCCCCCTGCCTACCTTATATGCTCTTTCATCTGGTGTCTTTTTATCTCACTGGAAGCCTAGGCCTCCTGTGCACTTTTCTCCCCTCTAACACAAACATTCTTGGTAAAACAGGTTGTTCCAGTGCCCATCTTATTGGTCCCCAATTTGGCAAATGCTCAAAGTTACTGGCTCCTTATTTGGGAGAACTCTTCAATTTCTCTTGAGTTCATTTATTTACTGATTGGATGGTCTGATGGGAGAAGAGGTGAGGAAAGAAGGTTTAGTGGAAAATAGTTGAGTGACATAAACTTGAGTAAGGCCAAGCTGATTCACCAGATGGGTCTGATCTTCCAAAGAATCACCCCTCAGCACACTAAGAGACCCTGACTTCTAAAGTACTTGTAATGCTCCCCATGATGTTAGGTCCTTGATGAGAACTGTACAGGCAAAAAAAGTTGAGTAACTAGCCAATCTGAATCTATTATTGGTACCAAGATCTTATAAAGTAACAAAAGATTTTTAATTCTATTGTCCATATTGAAAGATGACTGTGATTGAAATTCCTCTTCAATAATTCTGTATTTCAATAGCCAAGTTATGGAAACAGCCAAGATGCCCCACCACTGATGAATGGATTAAGAAAATGTGGTATCTATACACAATGGAATTTTATGCAGCCATGAAGAAGAACGAAATGTTATCATTCGCTGGTAAATGGATGGAATTGGAGAACATCATTCTGAGTGAGGTTAGCCTGGCCCAAAAGACCAAAAATCGTATGTTCTCCCTCATATGCGGACATTAGATCAAGGGCAAACACAAGAAGGGGATTGGACTTTGAGCACATGATAAAAGCGAGAGCACACAAGGGAGGGGTGAGGATAGGTAAGACACCTAAAAAACTAACTAGCATTTGTTACCCTTAACGCAGAGAAACTAAAGCAGATACCTTAAAAGCAACTGAGGCCAATAGGAAAAGGGGAGCAGGAACTAGAGAAAAGGTTAGATCAAAAAGAATTAACCTAGAAGGCAACACACACGTACAGGAAATTAATGTGAGTCAACTCCCTGTATAGCTATCCTTATCTTAACCAGGAACACTTGTTCCTTCCTATTATTACCTATACTCTCTCTTCAACAAAATTAGAGATAAGGGCAAAATAGTTTCTGCTGGGTATTGAGGGGGTTGGGGGGAGAGGGAGGTGGCAGAGTGGGTGGTAAGGGAGGGGGTGGGGACAGGGGGGAGAAATGACCCAAGCCTTGTATGCATATATGAATAATAAAACAATAAAAAAATTCTGTATTTCATTTTTCTCTGCAAGAAGAATATATAAAATTTTAAAATGGAAAGACAGAATGTCCTTTAGGTTTCATACAACTAATTCCAGTTAGCTACTAAGTTAGTTTTAAGCAAATTTTGGTTGGCTGCTTAGATAGACTGACTGCTTTTATGAAAAATCAGCATTTACTGTGTCCTGTTCCTCAAGTGTTCATACTTCATTTCATGAGACAGCCCCTCCATTCAGAAAGCAGAAACACTCAACAAGCACAGATATTCCCTATGCCAAGAATGCAGCATCTTTATACAAATGCAGAGAAAATGTTCAATGCTCTAACATCCTAAAATAGAGAATCAAGCTATAAATAATACATAATCTTTTAGATGGCAGAGAAAAAAATTAGTTATTAAACTTTGTTCTCCAAGTTGTCTTCCAGTTAAAAACCATTTATTCTCAAGCATGTGTTTAAAAAATAAATGTGAGGTACACTTTATTTTCTCCCCAAAAAATGAAATTCAAGAAGTATTTTTTAAAAATTAATTTTTCCATGCATATTCTTTTACTCTCAGATGATACTTGCGGTAAAAAGGCTGGATTTACACAGCTGTTTTATAAAGCCATTGACACTTTAATAAAAGTCCAAAATAAACATTTTAATTTTTTCCCAAATAACAAGTGATTGTTTCTCTTGTTTGCACTCATGAACAAAGACTGTGTAGCTGCAGTTGTCTGGCTTCTCTGTAATTTTAGGCCCAAGACTCAGCAGACACTGATTAACCAATCCATCTACCATATGTGCAGAAAGAGACGGCCAGCCTCACTCCCGGCAGAGAAAATTGGCATCCATCTTGGTTCACATGGAGATGTCCTTCTAATCTACAGCCGCGCTGGCGCAACAAAACTTCCATGGCCTGAAATACCTTTTGCTGGCTTCACAGCGAGCTGCATGTGCATGATAAGAATGTATTATTTATAAGACCGCTGTTAGTAATGAGCTATTACACTAATGGCTCATTGTGTTTGGAATTTGATTTCAAATGGCATGGATCACACATTCTGATGAAAATGAGAAAAACATGTTTTGCCACCAGGAACAAAGATTTCGTGTTCTCCAATTCTACAACCTGTTATATTCCCATCATTCATCCAGGGTTGTAACAATTTTAAAAAGTTCACAATTAGAAACAACAGAGCAAGGGTGTTGGTAGACGTGTCTGCTCCCTACTTTGGGTTACTTTCAAATAACTGATTTGAGAAACACTGTTCTTAAATACGAATCTGCAGGAGTATCTAAATGCAACTTTGTGTATGTATGTGTTTTCTGGAAAAAAACAAATGGATTTATGGATTTTCTTACTTGCACAATGAAAAGGCATTTATTGCTGGCTGTTGTGTATCTTGAGGGTGACACAAGTCCTTTCTACCACAAAAGTGTCTTCAATGATCTTATACTGGAAGATAAAACTGAAGTGTGCTGTTGTTCTTGTTTTTCCTGTGAGGATCCACATGATGATATGTGCAAAGGCTTAGATCACTGGAAAACCATATTGCACTGGCCTTGTCTTCAAAAACAAGTCCATTTATAAACACGTGTGTACTTTATCATTTATACTTCCATCCCATAAGTCCAACAGTCGCCCATCCCTTTTGGGTAACAATTTTCCACAATGATGGTTTTGTTCTCTTTGTGACCACTGCTGGCTTTGATCCCCTGCTCCTGATGCCAAGCACATGGCTAACCTGGCAGGCTCTGTCTTGCCTGCAGGTCAGTGGTGCTTACTCGGACCACTGCTGCCCATTCCCTGGACGATGCCAAAGCAGACGTTCTGCCCATCTGTCTCTAGGAACCACCCTTAGCCTCCAATTGCCCTTCCCAGAAATCTCAGCTTGGAGTAAACACCAGATGTCAAGGTAAGCCAGGATATAGTTATGACAAGGAACATGAACAAAGTCATGACTCAAAACTCCTCCAAAGTAACTAGCAAGGCAAACAAAGTCCTTATAGCTAAAAACCCTCTAGTTAATGGTTTTCTACATGGCTCAGGCATAGATCTTAGTCATCTAAATGCAGGGCCTGCAACTGCCATAGACTGGTTTGGAAAGAGACAGGCTTGATGTACTTCGTTCTGTTATCTCTGGTCAATACCTAAAAGCAAGGAGTGCCAGTAAATGCCTACTCAGCATAGGGTTGGGGGAGGAAGCCTGGGTTTGTAGCACTTGCCAATTTCTGCAGTATAAATGCTCTAAGCATGGCCAATTTCAAGTTAGCAATGTGATGTCACTGAATATGGAGTTGGAAAGAGATGTGCAATAGCATCCCATTAAATATTATGGCCACCGTATAGAGACCGTAGACAAAAACCTCAACACCACTGTAGCAGGGAAGAGAACTAGAAAAGAAACAGACAAGCCTGTGTTCTGATAAAATAGCAGGGAGGAAGGGATGGCATAGCAGAGAGATAAAACTTAAAGAATCTAAACGTGAAAAAGGTCATGTAGCACTGGGTGTAGAAGGTCACCGTAGCACTAGGGTTAAGTAGCCTATAGAATTGCATATAACCATATATAAGTTAAACCTTGCTTTTTGCTTCTGTAACCTGCTTGCAAGGGTATATAAGGTGAGAACCCCTTTGTTCTCGGGGCTTAGCCTTTGGACACAAGTCCGCTGAGTCTGTGCCAGCACAATAAAATGTTGCTTCCTTGCCTCAATGTCCCATGTCTCTGTTCGAGTTTCCCATAACAGCATAAATAATAGTAAAATAATTGGAAGGCATGAATTACAAGCATTTAATAATTTTGTTTTAGTAGAACTTACACTGTAAATTTAATAAGCTTTTAATAATGGTTGTTGTAACAAGCATCTTGCAAAGTTCCTGAAGTTTTTAACAACCAGCTCTCTTAAGCCAGAGCAAGAGTACTCCAGCCCACCTCCACACAAGGGTCCCCTCAGGAAAAAGGGGAAGCAGGTGAGAGGGTAGAACCAGCATTCATCTTGAACTCAAAAAGACTTCAGACACAGAGATATGGCTCAGTTCACCCTGGAGGTCCCTTCTAGGTCCTGTCCACAGGTCTTGCCAAGCTCTTTCATTTTAAGATTGAAGTCTAGGATCTCTTCTCCACAGAACACAGAGCCTCTGATGCCTGAGGCAGCATGGGCCTCTGAGGAGTCAGGTTGGATGCTCTCTGCCTCTTTGGAGACACCATTCCACAGGGTTGGGACTGCCATTTTCAGTCTGTAGCTTTGCTATAAAGTTTAACACAATGAAAGTACAAGAAATATAGCAAGACAGAGGAAGAAGAAGGGGGAAGAGGTCACCATAGGTTCTGTAAAGCACTCCCTCAAGTGATTTGGGGTGAAACTAGCACCTTGAAACCAGAGAATTAAAAGCCTTCCTAAAGCAAAGGCCTGATTAAGATGGATGGATAGATTAGAAGTCCTGATTGGGGTCTGTATGAATAGTTTCCAGTAGTTTTTGTCTGGTTGTGTAGACATGTTTTTTCCAAATGGTACTGCTAAGCCCAAATGCTTCCTGACCTTTCCTTTTCTTGTTAGCCTGGAGCTAAATGCTGAATGAGAATATGTGCAAGCAAGTCTTTAAAAGTCAAAGTAAAGTCAAATGTGAAAAAATAAAAATTTTAAAAATAAAGATGTTCAAAATCTAATTTTTAAGGCCAATTCTCATCTTCATAAACAAATGCCCATATCTATCTAAATTTATCTCACACTAGACTACACATTAAAATCATTGGGGGAGCTTTAGAAAATTCCTGATTGTGAGGAGAGTAGTAGGTGTATACCTTAGTCCCTGCTATTGGGGTGGGAGGGTGTGGGAGGCATGAGGCAAGAGGATCCCTTGAATCCAGGAGTTGGAGGCCATCCTGGACAATGCAGCAAGACTCTGTCTCAAAACAAAACAAAACCAACTTACTTTTAAAAAGCTCTGATTTGCCCAACTCCAAAACATTGATTTAATTGGTCTGAGTGCACCCTGAACATCAGGATTTTTAAACTGATGTAGTTCACCAACCACAAAAATAACATTTAAAAAGTATGCAGCTCAGTGGTTCTCAGTATATTCACAAGTTGTGAAACTACTATCTACTTCTAGAACATCTTCATTCACACCCTCAAAAGAAACTCCATACTCATTAACTCATTATTACTCACTCCCATTCCATTCTTCTTCTAGTCACTAACTTTCTGTCTATATGGACTTGCTTATTCTGGACTTTCATACAAATGCTATCATATGATATGTGGCCTTTGTGTGTGGTTTAGCATTCCCTTAATGTTCTCAATGTACAAACATGTTGTAACATGTGTCAGTACTATAGTCCCTTTTATTTCCTCTTAATATTACATTGAATGGATATACTACATTCTGTCTAGTCATTCATTAGCAGATTGACATTTGGGCTATTCTCTCTTTTTTGATATTATGATAATGCTGCTATGGACATTTGGGCACAAATCTTCAATTTGTGTTTTCAATTTTAGGTGTGGAATTGTTGGGTTGAATGGTAACTTTTGGAGGAAATACCACACTGTTTCCCAAAATGGCTGCACCATTTTACAATCCTAAAAGCAACTGGACAGAGTTTCCAATTTCTCTGCACCCCTACCAACACTTGTTATTGCTCTTTTTTTTTGGTGGTATTGGGGTTTGAACTCAGGGTCTCACACTTCCTAGGATGTCCCTCTTACTTTTTGAGACACTCTGCCAGCCCTATTGACCTTCTTTTTTATCATAACCATCCTAGTGGAGGTCAAATGGCATCTACTATGGATTTGACTTGCATTTTCTTACTGAGTAATGATGCTGGCATCTTAGGATGTCAAATGGCATCTTTTCATGTGCTTATTGATGATTTCTATACCTTTTTTTGAGAAACATCTAATTGAATTCTTTGTCCACATTTCATTCAGATTGTTTGCCTCTTCATTGGTGTAAGAATTCTTTATGTATTCTGGATCCAAGTTCCTTGGCATGGGGAAGTCTAAAAACCTCCCAAGTTGGTAGAGTGCCTGCCTAGTAAGTATGAGGCCCTGAGTTCAAACCCCAGTTCTGCCAAAAAACAAACTTCCCAGGCGATCCTCATAGGCACCAAATTTGAGAACCTGTGATGTAGAAGAAAGCCTCAGATTGCTCATATTATCTATATAAGAGAACATTTGATTTCAAGTTTCAATAAAAGTAATATTCTTTAAATAAGTCTTCTAATTTTTAGCAAATGAAGAATGAATTATGAAGAATGAAGAAACCTAAAAAAGTCATCCTAGAAATGAAACTGCTAAATTCTCACCTTTTAATGTTTTTTAATTAACTGGCATAAAGTCCCTCTTTTTAAAATGAAAGTAAAATATTCATTTGAAGACAAAATCATAATTGTGTTCGTCTGAACCGTGGGATTCTATGAATGAACAGAATGGGCAGGCACCCAAAAGCTCTATTCATGTTTGTTAATTATTATATGCAAAAGACAAGCACAAAAATTTATTCAAAATCAGATTACCTTTTTGTCAAAAACAAATTTCAGTCCAAGCTTATACAAACCTCTTCGAAAGGTCTTTCCAAGGAATGGCCCCTATATTTCTCAGTGATGCAAGGAGAACATCTGAGCTCACATGTGAATTGCTTTCCTTTCTCCTAGTTGGTCTGAAAGACTATCAATAAAAGGCTGAACTTGTAAAGACCCTGGAGCAGAAACATCACCCTGGAACTTGTGAGAAATGCAGCTTTTCAGGCCTCCCCCTGCCAGAGATAGTAGGTCAGAGATATTGGCATGGAGTCCAGTCATCTTGTTCTTATCAGCCTAAGAAGGAATCATTGGCAAGCTCAAGTTTTGAGTACCACTGCTTTCAAATACTTTCCTCACATTTCCCATGTGCACATAAAAAAGATTCCATTTGCTACAGCCCTATCCTTTCTAATGCTGAAGTTACCACATAGTCCCAAATGACTCTTAGGTGCCAAAGTCTCAATTATTTTATGTCAGACAATTTCTGCCTACCACTGAGAAGACCTCACAAATATCCCTATTCCAGCATTTTTAACTCTTAAGAACACTGAAGCTTCAAGTGGAGTGGCATGATAAAGTAGAATGCCATCATGTGACTTTTTAAAAAAGAAAGCCTATTTTAGCAGAACAAATAGTACCTACCTAAAGATAACCCAATATATTCAGGATTAGCTATCAGAAGTAGGATCTTACTTTCTGAATCCTGCTGGTGCAAATGCAGAGAAGGGGCCTGCTGGTAGCTGAAATTCTGTAAGGGAGGGGCACCCATTGGTAGATGCCTCCAGGGTGGGGGGAAGATGAGAACAGGTTGTGAGAATCTTAGAGCTACTCACACCAGTCACCTGGGGTTTTCTCACACTAAGGCTTTGTCAGCTCTCTTCTCTGTCGCTTCAAAAAAATCTGGCTGGTCTCCAACTCCAAGCCAAAGGGTACAGGTCTGTCTTTTGGGCCCCAAATGCCCAGCCTTCTGATGTTTTAAAGAAAATCTAGAAATTCCAATTGTTATGTATACTTTTCTAATTTTTTACATTAGCAACTAATTCAACAAAATTTAATCATATGTAACCTGCATCAAATCATGAGGAAACATTGGACAAATCCAAATTGAGAGATACTCTACAAAATAACTGACTTGTATTTTTAAAAAATGCTCCAACCTGGGGCTCTTGACTTTCCCTTTCCTTCTCCCCTCCTAGCTTTTTCTGTGTCATATCTAATCTTTGTTCAATCCTCTTCTATATTTTTTTCCCCAGTTCTTTGGTTTTCTTGCATTTTTTAATCTAATAAAATGGAAAGTCCCTTTTATTTTAAAAATGCCAAAATAATGACAGGTAGTTGTTTCAGATTAAGAGAGGTCAAAGAGTCAGGACACCTGCACACAATGAATGACCTGGACTTACTCTGCTATAGAGGACATTGATGGGGCTATCAATAAAATCTGAATAACATCTGAAGATGAGATAATAGGATTATAGGAATCATAACTGCTTGACTTTGATCCTTGTACTTTAGTTATGTGAAAGAACATTCTTGATTTTAGGAAATATACACTGAAATATTTAGAAGTAAAGGGGCATTATTTCTGTAACTTTCAATGTTTTGGAAAAAACATGTAGATAAATTAAAGATAGCAAGAAAGAGAATGATAAAGTAAACAGGGGAAAATGTTAACATTTAGGGAATCTAAGTACTTATAAATTTTCCATAAATGTGAAATTATATCCAAACAAAAAGTAAAAAATTAATCATTTCCTAAGCAAAATGCAGATTTGTCACCTCTGATCTCTTATATCTTGGGACCCTCATAACCACCTCCTCAATTATGCCTACAGCATCTTTTCCTTTCCCTCTAATTTTAACCATTACCTCTAGGGACAGAGCAAAGAATTCATAGCAGCCTGGGCATATCGAACGACCTCACAAAAGAAAATCTAAAGCTGATCACTCTGGTGAGGGGGGAGCTGCCCAGCTCAGAAGCTGGCCTGGTACCACTTGGAAGGGGATAAGTAGGGGAGGGGAATGGCAGCTCCCAGGGTACTCAGCAAACCAGAAGCAACATGACTTCTTCCTCTGGCTTCTCTAACTGAGTGTGTCCCCAGGAGAATTAGTCACCAACCTCACACACGACAGCATGATTCTCTTCATCTTGGGCCTCTATTAGTTCAGCCAGGAAGTAGTCACCATAAGTTTCCTTCAGAATGGTGTCATAGCGCATAAATATTGGCATGAGATCATCATGGTCTTCCACCCTGTTTGACAGAAAGGCTTCAGTTCAGTGTTTGCCCCATCATTTTTTCCTCCAGTGGAGCACCTACAATGTGCTAGCCTCAGGGATATAGCAACAGGCTCATGACATGACCTGATATTCTCACAGGAGAAACAGACAATAAAGATGAAATGCATTTCAATAATTTCAGACACTTCACAACATGATATGCACCTTGGGATGAAAAGTGACACTGTCAAGTGGCCAGGGAAGACCTGTGAGTAGGGACACATGTACTGAGACCTGAATGAAGAGAAGGGGATGAAGCTATGTTGAGACCTAGAGGTGAGTCACTCAGGTAAAGAGAACAGAATTGGCATGTTGGAGGGTGGAATGTAGAGCAGCGTTTCCCATGAGCCACAGGACCACGGGGAACAGCCCTTCCCAAGTGTGCTCCCAGCATCACTACCTCTATATTGTCCCAGAATTCCCTTCTGCTAACCTATGGAGAATTCAATGCCTTAAACGAATAACTGTAGGTTATTCGTTTAAGGCATTGAATTCTCCCCTCCTGCAGTATCATAGTTAAATGCATTTAACCTTGTTTATGCATCTCTAGCACTGGCCTTTTATTCCTACATCACTATACTTCTCATGGAGGGTAAAATGCTGGTGAAGGTAATGAAGACCTGCTCACCAGCTTGAGGATATCACTGCCACTTCCATTCTCAGGACATTTGATAGTGACTTTGACAATTCGTGGTGATGGAGGAGGGGAAGAACCAGGTTTATTGCATGGTGGTGATGCTGGATCTTGGACTCTACTTTGTTGCCATACTTAACATTCCTTTCTTATTTTTTTAGTACATTCTTGGGTAAATTTAGTGTTCTAGTTTTCCTATCTAGGATGTTCCTACACTGTTTTCCTGGGAAAATATTTCATAGTCATATTTTTTCATATTTTTCCTAGTGTATCTGATTTGGCTACTGATCTTGATTTTCCCCATCCCATTTTATCTTCTAGTATGTCTCTCTGATACTAATAGTAGCTCCATCTATTGGATGATAAGTATGTATGTAAAGCTCAGGGCTTTGTCCAGATTATCTTTGCTGCTGTGCTTCTCATAGCAACCCCCGGAGACAGACATTACTCTCTCCACATTTGAGCTGGAGGACAGCAGCGCTCATAAGTATGATGAAATGCTTTGCCTGAGATGACAGAAATAGTTGGCAGTAGAACCATGGTATGAGCTCAGGTCGGCTGGCATAAGCCCTGCCTTCACACACAATATCCTAACCTGACAATGCACGTCAAAAATCTTTGACACTCCTTTTGAAAATGGGTAGCAGGAAGCAAAACAGTTAAGAGGGGACCCCTTAGCTCAGGGATGAGAGGTCATTGTTCAGCCAAACATGTTAGAGGAGTTGTCCTCTAACCTCTGCTGGTACAAATTCCCCAATTCTGCCATAGCTTTAAACTAAACAATCTCATGCAGTCTGGATGAAAATCTCCACCCTGCTCTGGTGGTGAAATCTTTACCTCTGATAGCATAGGTTTAACTATTGGAATGATGTTGGTTTCTCATTAAAAAAACAAACTAAGTTTCTTGATGGAAGAAGTACATATTTGAAAAACCAGATCTCTGCTATATAATACTTTAAAGATGCCAGACACAGTGGCACGTGCTTGCAATCTCAGCACTCAGGAGGCAGAGGCAGAAAGATCAGGAGTTTGAGGCCTGCCTGGGTTATACAGGAGACTTGTCTCAGAAACATACACACATACACACACACACACACACACACACACACACACACAAATAAAAGGAAAACACACTCAGAGCTAAAGAGATAGCCAACAGACCATTGTACATAAGGAAAAAAAAACATAGAAGATAACTACCAGGGGGGACCATCAACATGCCTCCTAGGTCCCCATAATGAATTCCAATGTCAGCTGGACACTGGTAGCTCATGCCTGTAATCCCAGCTACTTGGGAGGCTGAGATCAGAAGGACTGTGGTTTCAGGCCAGCCTACTGAGACATCTCAACAGAAAAAACTGGACATTGTGGCATATATCTGTCATCCCAGCCATAGAGGGAAGCATAAAATAGGAGGATCATAATTCAGACTGGCCTAGGCAAAAAGTGAGACTCTATCTCCAAAGAAAGCAGAGTAAAAAGGTTTGGAGGCATGACTCAAGTCATGGAAGGAAAGTTCAAACCCAAGTAGCACCATCACCAAAAAAAGAGGAGGAATTCCAGTATTATTAAGGATATAGCTCAGTGGTACAGTGCTTGCCTAGCATGTGCAAGGTCCTGGGCTTCATCCCCAGTTCTGGAAAAAAAAAAAAAAAAGAATTCCAATGCCTAAAAAATAACATATTAAAGTGCTGAGAAGCAACAAAATAAAGAATATTTAACCTGCTGATGCATTTCTTAATGCAAACACTTGGTACTCAATGATGCTCTTTATTCCTGAGATATCTCTACACACTCTGTGGAGGGGGAAACACTGGTGAAGGTAATGAAAACCTGCTCACCTTCTTGGGGACATCCATCTTATTGTTATTCATCTTTTTGTTATTCTTAGGAAGGAGAGACAGCAGGAGTCCCTATCCAAGCAGCCAGAATCTTTCTTTTTTATTTCCACTATCATCCTGGTGCTGATGTCATCCCCACCAGCTATCCCATTCCATCAAGCCAGGTCATCAATAGCATTCCCAGGTGTGAGGCTCAAATAGAGACCCAACTGCTTTTGGAATATGACTGTACATCAGATGCTCTCTTTAACTACCTGTCCATGTATTTTTGTTCATATGTGATCACTATGAGAATTTTCAGTGGTCATCTGTGGCTGGGTGTATGGAGGCTCCACCATAAATGTATCAAAGGCTTGTGGTGCTCTGAGAAAGACTAGCATCTACTAACATACTACCCCGAACGTGCCAGATCTCGCCTGAAAAGACTAGAGAAAAAAAATACAGCCTGAGCCATTCTACCTGAACCTGGATCCTACCTCTGCCACATACTAGCTGTGTCTCTAGGCACAGTACATAACTTCTCTGTCATAGTTTTCTCATCTATCATAAAAATAATAAGTATGAAGATAAGAATATGTGTGAGTGTTATTTGTACTATCATAATTATTACTTAGAAAAAAAGGACCAATAAGAGCAATTCGAGAATATATACAATCAGCAGGTGGAGTGAGTTTTATACTACAGCAGATAGAATCACTGTGCTGGCTTCCCATTGGTAGAAATAAACAATGTCATTCCATCCACCTGATCTTACAACTCTGTTTTCTTATTTCACTCCCTTACTTTAAAGCATCAACAAACTCCTCTTTGTTTCTGGTAGGAGCACAAAATCTTTTGCCTCCATCTTCCCATACTTTTCACTAACCATGACATTAATGGATGTATTTATGATCCTTAGAAGGGTACCTCATCATCCTGTCTCTATTTCACTCAGCACTCTGACTCCTTTGCCTATTCCAGATTTTAATATCCTTCAAGGCTCACCTCCATCCCACAACCTCCAGTGATTTTTCCTCCCAGCCCCTCTCCCAAGAACCCAATATTGGGATCATCACTGGACACATCATCTAGTTTTGATGATAATTTCTTATGGTCAAGGTGTGGCATCTTTCCAACCAGGGAACATTTTTGGGTACACAGAGGAGTTCTGTATCATGTAGTGAAGAGCAACAACCAACAAGCGCCGGTCATGGAAACCTTACCATACATGGAAACCTTACCAAGGACCCAAATACACCGACCATATAGAGGAGATGTGATTGCTAAGCCCCAGGGGCTGTATCTGGATGGTCTGAGCCACAGTCCCATGACAATGGCTCCATCACCCCTCTACTTAGCCTTCTGGCTCTACCAACAGAAAACCAATAGCTACTTCCACACTACACGGAGCCTTGGTTGTTTTTCATATCTATAAAAGGGGTGGGGCAAGGATAGCTGGAAGGATGCAACACAGTGATAAAAATGGTTCACTTAAGTCCACTCTGCCCACAGTAAGTCCTCAGCAAGCATTACTCTTCTTGTGAGGCCTCAAAAACTTAGCTGAAAGATTCTAGAACACTCTACTCTCTTCCAGAAACAATTCACTTCTCAACTCACCTGTCAAAAAAGCTGCAGCTGACAAAGCAAGTCTTTTCTCTGTAAAAAGAATCCTTAAAGGTATTGGCAAAAAGAAAGAAAAAAGATTCTATAAAAGAATGGGCAACAAGTCCCTTTTTGAGCATTCTGCAAAAAATAAAAGGCTGCATCAATATTATTAACAGCCATAATTATTTTACACAACGGGGAAATAACTCAATATCTTAATCATTTTAAGTGGACCAAGATAGCAATCAGAAACTCCAAAATCAACTTTATTTATATGACAGACATAAAAAAGACTACTGTTTGGATATAAAAATCGGAATAAAGGCTCAGAGAGACCCAGCACCCTAAGCCTAATCATAACCCTTCCACAGCCCATTAACAAAGTTGTCCACAATCAGACCTCAATATCAATTCTTCTGGAAAAAAAAGAAGAAGAAAACATCCAAATCTTGGAGGTCTGTAGTCTCTCCCTTAAGCCCTTCCTCAAAATGGATAGAGAGGAACTTATTCTATTCAATGCATTCCTTGGGGTAATTGATAATTTATGATCTTGCATCAGCCCAAGTGCTAATGATAAAGTATGACATCAGCCTTGAAGTCTCAAATGGCATACAGCAAAGTCTAACCCCACAGAAACAAAACACCCAGCTACAGAAAGCATTCGTGCAGTAAAATGTTTAAATGTGAGCTCTCTGAAGCAGTGAGCACCACTTATCATATGAACAAGAGGACAGTCGTATCTCACTGTGAATTTGGCACCACAGTGCCAGGCACAAACCTGCCATTTACAGCTTGACAGCATTCCAATGGCAATGACTACACAACAGTTATAGTTTATTAGCACAGACTATGATGGAAATAACACAATCCTCTGATAGAAAAGCAGTCCTCCTTTACGTCTTCCATTCACAATGT